GGACCCCTCGTACAATGCCCATTCTTATTACACTAAATGTTGGAATGAAAGCTTTTAATTTGTAAGTATCTAGACAAGGATTATCAATAAAATTGTTAGCATCATCGAAACGAGAGCTAGAGCCAGTCTGTTTCGTCCAATACGTTTTAAATTTCCATTCACTATATTTTTCACTGTAATTTTTTTAAGAATGTTCCCAAATTGCACTGGATGTAAAGAAGCACGTTCTTCGGGAGCAGACTGTCTCACTACGTGAATCACATAAGGACTAATGTCAGTGCGCTCATATTTTCTTATATTCAGATACCGAGGTTGAGTGGGAGGAATTTGAGTAGAAGGTTTGTTAGAACCAGTGACGTTTGTTAATTTATCCTGAGATAGAGATGAAATAAATTCGTATACTTAATATTTGCATTATATTCTGTAATATCATCATGAGAGCTTTCGACGAAGTTACCCTTACTACCTTTCCATTTTTTCTCAGAATATCTACGGAACGTTTCAATGCGTCTCACTGCGGGCACCATCTTCCGTATCTACTGCACTCGCTTCAAGCGAAGATATTTCTATATTTAGCTTTGCAGAGATATAGCGTCTCTTAGCGTATTCTAGCGCCTGTACCACGGTGAGTGCTCTGAAGAGTTATTTAACCTTATCCCTTCCTCTCCTTTCCATCAGCGGACCATCCGTGCCGGACTGCGTTGCCACAGTTGGACGGTCAGTTCAATACCGTCCCGCACTAAAAAGTTTGGCAATTCGTTTTTATGCCGAACCATCAAATTGTGGAACCAACTCCCGGCGCATGTATTCCCTCCCCTCTATAACATCGGGTCCTTCAAACGTAGTGTGAAGAAGCATTGGGCCAGACCGGCAAAATGATAGTGACGGAGTGAAGATATTTGTGTTTTCCATCCGTTATTCTCATCTCTGGACTGTATTCGCACTTTCCATCAGGTGCGGTGCAGTCATTTTGCCGAGTCGCAATAAAACATAAAAAAAAGGCCCACTGAAGGCACTGTTCGTCCAGGGTCCAGGGTCATCGGGGGGCTCGTTGCCCATGTTAAAAAATGAAAAACTTACCCCAAGCGGAAAATACATACACTACAAATATTTACACAGGTGCTGAATTAAAGATTATATATTATAATAAATACAAACAGAACTCTACAAAACAATAAAAACCACTAAAACCAGGAAAAATATACTCGCCAGTTTCGGAAGTTTCCCGCGTCTTTTTAAAATAAAGGCCACAAGAAAAACGAGATTTGTAATGATTTTCACAACAGTGAATAAACTTCTAACAACGACACCACCACCACCTCTTGTTGGCCCATCGCTTTCGTTCTGTAACTTCAACTTTCGACAAGTGCCAAAAGAAATTATTTTTCTGAAAAATATGATTTTTTTCAAAATAAACATTCTTCCTTGACCCAACACTAGTCTTAAAGACTTGGCAGGGTGATTTTAAATCTTTTTCATGACGGAAAGAATTTAAAAAATATGAACGAACGACACAATGTCATTTTCCCAGATCTGTCAATGTCAATAATCAACGAACGAACGTGTACCTAACGAACTTCGCGTCGTATCTATCTTCGATTTTTTGCTACAGAATTGCAATTTGTATTCGGCGCAGTTTCATATATAAATCTCACAATGGCTAAACCAAAACCGGAAGACGCTTCTGAAGATGCGAAAAAAATTGTGGACGATGCTAAAAATTTTATCGAAAAGGCCGTTGCTGATATTGGGAAGACTTCTGCGACAAAACAGCTAATTTTAGGAACTGCGTCAGGGTGGTATGTAGTTGCATTGCTTTTATTTTAGTTGCATCACAATAAACGCTTATTCAACTTGGACAAATACAGAACGTGGATAGCTGTTAAAATAAATTTCTTCGCCATTTGAAAGTAGGTAGAGACAATGGAAATTGCGTCCTTGAGTTACCCATTTATGTGTTTACTTGTTCTCGTCTCACTCTGATTTTGAATGCGATGAACACATTTTTCTTTGTATATATTTAAAGATGATGACGACTATACTGAGGTAGGCAATTCAATTCTGATTGCATTACGTATCTTAATGACTAATATTCTATATATTTAACCCTTACAGCACAGAATGGTACGATCGTGCATTCAACTTTGAAAAAAATTTGGGGATAAAAGTAATCAAGTTTACCGCTTCGGATCAACACCGATCGTTTGTGCGTTTGATTAATATTAGCTGTTAAAGCAGTGCCGCCGTGTTCTAGGGTTACACACCTGTGCCGGGAGCGACAAGTGTGAGCGTGTACGAGACGGATGGGAGGTCGAAAAGCAAGTTTTTTTTTAAATTTCATCATTTCGTATTTTCTGACCTAATGGTGTATTTTCTTAGTATGTATATGCTATATAAAAAATAATTAAACAGTGAATTGTTAGAAATTGTGGTTTGTATTCAGTCATAAAGTCATATAACACGATCATGCTTGTCAGGATGGAAATGACTAGATTAGTTTTAGTTTTACTTAATTTTCTTTTTGTTTTTAGGGACATTAACATGATTTGGTTACACAAATCATCAGAAACATTGACAAATCAGAGTTAGGTGAATCTGACCTTGAACATTGAGAACAGGAGATAGAAAGTGATAGTGATTCTTCATTGTCACGTTCTAGTTCCTTTATCAGCTCAGAAGAAATCGAACCTAAACCTGGATTTAATGCTCTCATATTGTCTCCATCTATTCGTCGTGGTAATCATCGCAGTTGTGGTAGGACGTTGACTATTTGCAGCCGTATATCTAATAAAGTCGTATTTGTATCCAGAAAGTCGATCAGCAGATACTCTCACCAGCCCAGACCAGCCCCATATTTTTCTACGTTAGTTTTGATTATAGTGACCCTCCCTACTGACCCTGAGGGTATACAAGAAGGGCACTATAACCTGTGGAATGGAAAGGAACCTTATAAGTTCAGGTTCTGACCCCAGATCAGCATGTACAGGGTTGTCACAGACCTCTGTCACTTGACTTCATCCGGTTCTTCGAGAGGCTAGTGCCTCGAGCGAGACACCCCGGGTGCACATACAACATTTTCCAGATATTCCCTCCCTATTTTCCCGATAGGTAATGGAGCTGTAGGCACGTTCACTTCCCATTGCGCAATGCACAAGTAACAGTTGCCTGCGCTAAGCCGTCGAGTTCACTACCAAATCTCCTAATTGGTGGCAGAGCTGTAAGGCACGCTCACCTCCCGATGCCGAAAAACGACGTCTCTCCAGTTCATAATAACCTAAGAGGCTGGAGGGCCTCTAGATTCTAGGGATCTAGCTTATCCTCTATATACTAGCTAACCACAAACCCCAGTGAGTCCATACCCAAGTCCGGGTCCAACAGAGACGCGAAGGCGTCTCACTGGCGGAGAACCCAGCCCAGATCAGTCGTTTTTCAGAGAGTTCCGAATTCTCCACAGTCACTTCTATCCAGCCTTGGTCGATCTTCTAACAGTACCTGTTCAAGTACCTGTGATGCTCACCAAAGTCGAGGTCGATCGTCATCTATTTAAAGCCATACTTCTGTTCGGAAACGGTCACGATCAGAAAGGCGAAGTCGTTCGGCTGACGCACCATCACCACATAGATCAAGGAAGTGGAGGCAAATGTCATATGATGATAGGGATCAATTGTGGTAGGTACCCATTTCGCCCTACGACTGGAACTTGCTGCCCACCCTTTGATTATTTTCGTGAGTATTTTGACGACGAATCGACGAAAAAGATCTCGGTTAGTTAGTATTTTGCGTTAATTAATAATAAAATCATATTTTGTTATATTCAATGTGAAACATGTGATAAACTTCTAGTTTTATTAATATAGTTGATTTTGTTGCTTTATGAGTCGCCTTTAATTCAAAATTTAATAAAAATTTTGAATTAAAGTCACAAAAAAAAACCGCTAACGCTTTGGTAAGGTTCATGACGGGATGCCATGATCGTGCGGGGGGTTTTTGCAAGGGTTTTGGGAGAGGAGATTTTTTTTCTTTTTACAAACCGTTTAAATGCTTTAAAAAAATGCGACATCAAATCCAATCACAAAAAATAATTTTCTCGTGCTGAAAGGGTTATGAAATTGTTTATACTGTTTTAAGAATTTTTAATATATACAATTTTACGTTGTCATTCTGTATTATTACTATTTATAGATACCCAAAAAAGGAAAAAAGGAAACCAAACACTTGATACATTTTCGAATCTTATTCGAAAATGTTCGAATTTGATCAAATTAAAATGAACGTGTACATTTAATGATAACATCCTTTTCTCTTTCAGGATAACGGGTTTTATAACAATGAAGATTGGCAAAGTTGCAGCTGTTGGTCTAGGTGGCGGAGTTATACTGTTGCACATTGCTAGCCAGAAGGGCTATATTGACATCAACTGGGATAAAATCAATAAGAGGGTTGATAAAATCAGTGACAAAATTGAGAAAGAGACTACTGGCAAATCTGCAGATTGGTTTGAAAAAGTAATTGCAGTATTTGATATTCTTGTGATTTACAGCAGCATAATATAATAATGTCATGTGTGCTTGTGAGCAATGGCAGTATCTATGTTGCATGTGCATGGGGACTTTATTCTTCATCATTATCTTTATTGCTGTATAATGTAAACAAAATGTTGTCAATATGTGCTGCATTATGCAGTTGTTATACTTTTTTACTTGACCGGTGTAAAAAAATGTTGTCTTTCACTTCTTGGCTATTCATCACAATCATGTTGAATCTGTTAACCATTATGGGTATTCTTTGACGGAGACTTCATCATTAATTTATTTTGTTACAGGTAATATTGTTTGTCAAAGATAATTCCTATTACTCAGCAGGTTTTACAGGAGGATTCTTTTTTGGGATTGCATCTTCATGAGTTACAAAAGTTCTCTAGTTGATTTTCTGTGAGTTATAATATATTAATTGTTTAAATTTGTTATTTTTAAACCGGTCAAGTTAGAAAGTATGACTAATAAAGATATTTTTACATATCACTCCATGATTCAGGAACTATAATATCTATAACAATGTAATTTCTTTTTATTACAGGTAGAGCGATTTGTGGACCGTAAATTAGATAAAGCCGAAGATTTACTCAAGAAAAAAGAAGCTAAAGCTAAGAGCTGGTATTACAACATCACTGGGGATGAAAGTTACCACGCTACTGAAACTCATGTATTCTTGGCCTCATTCTTTGCAGGAATGGCAATTGGTCTTCTCTGTGGAAAATAAGCTACCTTCTCTCAAACATTGCCTCTAATATTTCCTTTGTATAAATGAATAGGCTTAGGATTAATTTTTTGTTTGTACTTTTATGTATAGTATTCACATCATAGTTCTTTTAAAATGTTAGGTTTATATTATTTCTTAATTATTATGAATATTGAAAAAAAATTGCTGGAAAATACATGTATAACTAGAAGAGTAGTAGTTACTTATTGTATGGCAGGCTTGATCAGTCTTCTGTGAAGTATTAAAAATATAATTAATCTTGAATAAATTATGAATGCCTTTTATTTACAGATATACTCATAAACTGCTATTTTGAAAGGAGTGCATCTAAACATACGTTCATTATCTTCATACAATTTGTAATTTAAACCATAAAATTGCAAATTAATGGACATAAAGTAGAGATGAAACGGATAGTAACTTGGCTGGATACCGGCGAGCACCTAGACCGGATATCTGACCCACTATCGTAAACATGTCGCGGCCGGTTTACAGCGCGCATCATCTTGATTGATTGATTAGTGAATGATTGCACTTTCACATTGACGATTTGCTTTGTTGTGGTCACTTGATTTAATACATAATAGAAAAATGTTAACAGTGAAAAATATCGCAAATTCGGCAATATTTTAATATCTGTGCTGTTTCTTTGTTATGCCAAATGCAAATTTCTCGCGGTGGAGAAGTAAAAAAGCAATTACATCCTTCTTTGGCTATATTAAAATTTCTAGTTGTTGTAAGTATACTTGATACGCTCGTTATTGTTTTGTTTCAGTTTGATTTCTTTGTAATCTATCTAATTCTTAGCCTTGATACCATATTTGCAAAAAAATCTACTTACGCGTGTCATTATTGTAGGTACACGTTGTATTTGAAGATACACACATCAAAAGTGTCTAGGGATCAAGTACGTTTAAGAGTATTGCTGCAATTAGGGTTAATTATATTAACTTTTTTGTATCGCTATTGATACTTTTTAGTGAGTTTTAACATTTAAATAAGGAATATTGTTTAAAATTCGATAATAAGAAGAAAATCGATTGTCAATGTGGTTTTGTATAAAAATGAGTTATAGCGTTTTGACAAAATCATTACAATATCTGCATCGGAACCGAAACAATTTACATTATTATGGAGAGACGACATCATTTAACCCGAGAAGTGATGATGCGAGCCGTCGGAATGTTGGAAGCTGGTTCCAGGCAACGTGCTGTGGCTTTCACTCTTAACACTACACAGAGCGTCATAAGTCGCCTCTGGACGCGCTATCGCATGACGGGCAGCGTCGCCGAGCGACATGGAGGACGATCTCGCATCACGACTCGCAGACAGGACCGGTATATCCAAAATACTGCTCGACGGAATCGTACCATGACCGCCATGATGTTGGTTACGAGGCTCCACAGCTCCTCAGGCTTGCTAATAAGCGATCAAACAATCCGAAATCGTTTACGTGAAGTGGGTCTGCGATCCCGAAGGCCGCTCAGAGTTCCACCTATTGCACCCTGCAATCGCAGGACCCGTTTACGATGGGCTCGCGAACACAGAAACTGGGAGGAAGAAGACTGGCGTTATGTGTGCTTTTCGGATGAATCCCGCTTCGGTATGAGACCGGATACAAGACGTAGTTACTCGAGTTTGGAGAACATCTGGACGTCATGAACGTTTGAGATATTGTCAGGAAGTTCATCCATATGGTGGGGGAACAATAATGATATGGGCCGGTATTTGGATCGGCGGAAGAACCGATCTCATTTGGATCAGGGGTAACCTCAATGCTCAAGTTTACGCAGAGAGGATTGTTTCAGATGTTATCATCCCTTTGCGAGGCCAGTTGGGTGATTCATTTCAACTAATGCATGACAACGCACGTCCACGCACGGCTAGAGTCGTAACACGCATTCTTGCCGAAGCTCGTATCAACGTTCTGCCGTGGCCTGCTCAATCGCCAGACCTCAATCCAATTGAGCACGCATGGGATATACTTCAAAGAAGAGCTGTGCCGAGTATGCATACCGTACATACTCTACAACAATATTTTGACTTGTTACAAAACACATGGGCGGCCATTCCTCAAAGTGATTTTGATGAACTCATCTTAAGCATGCCAAATCGCTGTAATTGTGTGATTCGTGTTAATGGTGGAAATACAGATTATTAATTTTCTTATCTTTACAATAAAAATGAGCAAAATCATCATTTTCGCCATTTTTTTGACGCCGTTAATTTGAGTTTTTTCCCACAATTTGCAAAAACATCAATTTTAGTTTATTTTAATTAAATATAGGGGTAAGCGGTTAAATAAAACATAAGCATTAAAGTAAGAAGTCGTCCTGGAATACTGGATTTGGTAAATATTGCTTAACCCTTATTCAAACAATGGTAGAATACATGCCACCTACATAAGTCAAATTGTTTAACTATTTACAGTAGTAAAATCTGAACGCATCCATTATAACTTTCTTTTTTTACTAGAAAAAACGTTCTATTTTGTCATGTTGGCAGTACTACCTAAAAAAATAAAAGAATAGAGCGCTAATGAACGTCAAATTCAAATTGGCGGTAAAAAGTTTCATAAACGGTACTCTGACCGCGTTTTTTTTTTAATTATTTGATTTGTGACTTGAAAAATTTCGGTAAGTAAATAATTATGATTTATTTGTGGATTTAATGATATTTTTAAGTGTTGAAGGTACAGAAACGGTAGTTTACAATATAATTTATATCTAAAAAATGTGTTGAAAGTACGTGGCTAATATATGACCATTGTCCGTTCTTTTCGTATTTGTTTATCTTTCATCTTGTGTCATTTACTATAGTTTTTGATAGTTATTTACTTAATTGAGCAATTTCAATTTTTTACAGGGAAAGATGTCATCGAATAGACCACTGTCTAACAATGCACTAATAAAAGTTCTAGAAAATTGGTCGGATATCGATTCGACTTTTTAGATTGCGACTTGCAAGAGCACTTATTAGTGACTTCACATGCAAAAAACAGAGGCCAATTATTTTTAAAAATAAGAAAGGTGGAAATTTTGGTGTGAAGACTCTGAAGACGAAATTCGTCTTCAGAGTGTTGGCGTGCACTTCCCGGAAGCACAGGAGACATAAGCGTTGCAAGTTTTGCTCGACCAAGAAAGAAACGAAGAGGTCGAATATAAAATGTTCATATTGTGGTGTATCTCTCTGCGTCAAAGGATGTTTTAAAAAGTTTCATTTAGCTGAAAAATACATGTAACAATCTTAATTATTTTATTATTACGTATTACATTTATTTCCATTAAAATGGCTGGAAGTTTTATTTTCTTATTCAGACAACGGCCACATAGTTGCCACTTTTCATCACAGTTATCAGACAATGGTCGCATATTGTCCACCTTAAAAAAACCAACCCTACTATTTTTTTTTTAATTTCTTATAAATTAGGTTTCTTCTTTATATTATATTTAACCAGAATAAACTGAAAATCCTATCATTACTAGCCGATTAGCTCGCATCCGATTAAGGGTTAAATAATTTTTATTTCAAAAATATTCACTTGATCCCTAGACACTTTTGATGTATGTAGTTCACATCGATCGTGATCGCGAACCTTTCATTTGGTCATTTGACAATAACAAGTAGTACTTAAAATTTAAGAAAGTTTGCAAGAGTTTGTAGTGAAAAACTGTTCTCCGAAGCTGGTCTCTTTTATGAAAGTAAATAGAACCAATTTTTACCACTTAATGCAGAACAACTCGATACCTCCAATGAACACTACGCCATCTTTATTTTTTGGTCATTTTCTATTATTTTTGTAAACAGCCATATATTTATTTGCTTTAGTAAGTATGGCTGCTTAATATAAATATAATCTTAATTGTGCTTCCCGAATTTTGTGAAAAAAAGAAACAAGAACAAAAAAAAACGAATTTTGTAAAAAAAAGAAACAAAAAACAAAATAAAAACAGAGCAGGTCCAAAAATTAAGTTGGCTTAGTGTTCATTGAAGGTATCGAACTGGTCTTTATCCACCATAATTTGTCTGTATTGAAATTTGAGTACATTTACAGATCACGTTGTCTAACTTCATAGTTCTTTCAGTTTCAAGTAATAAACAGATTGTCAACGATCCTGTGGTTGCTGTTTATCCTATTACTATTATCTTTAATTGATAAATAGATTTATTTGACCTAGGTGCTGATTAAGATTTTTCTCAGTTTTAAACATCCGGTATCCGGCCGGATAGTAAAAATGGGCCGGATGCCGAATAGTTACCGGGTATCCGTTGCATTTCTAATAAAAAGTACATAAATATATCAATTAATGTTTTTATTATAATAATTAAATAATTCTTTCATAGGTAAACTTTCTAAATATTCTTTGTATTTGTTAATATACTCCTTTTTCAACATGAGTACTGCTTTTTGATATCTATTTTTCTCCAGCTTAGTAAGGGAACTCCAATTAGGACTTGTTTCTTCTGATTCTTTAATAATCTCATATAGTTGTTTTGCATTACTGAAAAAAAATTCAAATACATAAGAAATCACATTGTAAGAGAATGACTCTTTTAAACGGTTGGAAATTGTTAGTGAACGAGTGAGTGAGAATTGAAATAAAGTGACAGTAACAACTAGAAATATGTATAGAATTTTCTTAAATGGTTACAGTAAATGATATTGGTACTTGTAATAAATACTACCATATATTGGGAGGAGCAGGTTCAGGAATATCAGGCTTGGATGTTGATTGCTGTTCTAAAACTGCTGGTGGCTCTTGGTTACGTGTTACTTCAAATTCAGTCCTGTAATAGAAAGCAAATAATTACAAATCCGGCAATATAGGTATATCAGGAGCATAAGTGGAGTTTTATAGTATGTGACGAACATTTATATAATAATTTATTAAACAGTATTTCAACTCCATAAAAAGGTATAACAGTGAACTGGAGAAAGCAATTTATCACGGCCAGCTTGTAAACTGTAACTTGCGATCACTGCTCGTTACAGCTTTAATATTCTACAATAAGATCTTCCCACATATTGATCCATACTTGTCAAATGCGCAGCATGGGTTCCGGCCAGGGCGGGGTACACACTCGAATCATTTGTTTTTCATGCACTATGTAAGCTCATTCATCCTTAGGCAGATGTGGGGTGGTCAGGTGGATCTAGCGTACTTTGATTTTCGTAAAGCTTTCGACACGGTCAAGAACGACATATTGTTGACAAAGTTAG